GCAGGCCTCGGATTCATCGGCGGCAACGCCTTCTGGTACGGCTACCACATGCCGCGGACCAACGCCCGCGACAACTACTACCGGAAGCTGGAGGAGGAGCGCGCCGCCAAGCAGGGCGCTTAAAGGGCTGGCTGCCGCTGCCGCGACATACATACGACGAGACGATGCGGGAGACAGGCACGGGAGGGCGCCAACTAGAGGATCGCTTGTGTATCATACGGATAGACAGGGCCGGCAATTGAGCAGTCTGTGGGCAGAGCCATGTCCGATTTCCTTGCTGCTGGGGAGAGGGAGCCACAGGGCGGACTAGAGAGACGGACACGAAGAAAAAGAAGAATGGATATCTAAGATAGACGGAGTCGTTTTTCACTTGCTCCCAGCACCATGGACTGCACCGTTTGAGCCTGGTGTCGTATGCCCCTCCGCCGTGGCTGCAGCATTCCCTTCCCACGCCGTGGTCTCTGCCATAAACCCGCCGTTTTTGTCCTGGCACCTAAGAAAGGATAAACTCTGCCTCAGCATCATCCCAGCAAATGTTTCAACACCCAAACAAAACACACAACCCAACACCCCCCCAAAAATTCCCACCCACCCACATACGTACGTACCTGCGAAACCACCGCTGAACAGGCCAGCACTGCACCGGACTATCGACCGACTCGGGCCGCTGCACGAGGCACTCGTACTGTACCAGGCCCAGCAGCTCGCAGTCGCGCGCTAGGTCGATCCGCCGCCCGTCGGCCGTCTTGCGCACCTTGCCGTCGGCGTCGAGCTGCGCGGCTGAGGACAGCCGGCGTGTTGGGAAGTTGGGGCAGGGCGGCGCCATTTGGTGGGAGGAGGGGTAACGAGCGAGAAGGGCTGAGGATGTGAGTGGTGGGTGGGGTGATGATGCAGAGGAATACGGCCGCGGCGGGAGTGGGCGCGCGGGTGCTGGGGGAGATTGAGGAGACCACGCTTGATGAGGTACGTTGCGGGCGGTGCAGATGCAATTGGGTTTGATGATTGGGATGCGTGGGGTTTATTTCGATGTGCGATGCTGGATGATGGGGGGGTGGATGGTGATGGTTGATGAAGCTGCGCGACTGACAAATTCCGGTCCCCTCCAGGTCCTTGCATCCCTCCGCGCAACCTTTCCCACCACCACCACCAAGGACACCACCACCACAATCACCGACGCAGCCACAACCACAACCTCTGCCAACCCCCCCTTAACCCAACCCAAAACCTTCCCCCTCCCCGCCCTCAACGCCCTCGTTCACCGGCACTTCCGCGCCACCCACTGCGCCCCCCTCTCCCTCACCGGCCGCCATCGCGAGCTCCTCTACCCGCTGATCGCCACCCTTATTGCCCCGCCCCACAACCAAGCCGTCTCCATCGTCGACTTCGAAGGTCGGTTCGACCCCGTCCGCCTTCTCTCCACGCCCCCCTTCCCGGTCGAGGGTATCCCGGGTTACGCCCTCCGCCGCGCCGACCTGCTTCATGTGCACGTCCTCCGCCCTCCGCCGCGCGGCCCGCCGGGGCATGTAGCCGCGCAGGTTGCGCAGATGGAGGGGTACATGCTCTACGGGGCGCACGCGAGCCGCGGGAGGGAGTGGTGGGGGACGGTGGTGATTGGGGGGGGGACAGAGCCGGCTGGTGGTGTGGGTGCGGGGGGTGCGGCGCAGGTTGCTGTTACGGCGGATTGGAGAGGATGGATGCGGGTTGAGAGGGTGTGGGTGAGGGGGTTTGGGGAGGTGGGTGTTGAGGAGGCGTTGGAGGGGCGAGAGGGGAGGGAGAGGGAGGTGGAGCAGGGGAGGTGGGTGGGTGTCTCGCCTTGGGGGAGCGTTGGGTTTGGAGGGGTGGGGGGTGGGGGGTGGTTGATGGTTGGGGACGGAGTGAAGTACCTGAAGGAGATGTGATGCTTGCTGGTGGAGGGATGAGATGGGCGTCGTGGAGGTCGGTAAGAGACGGGGTGTTGCTATCACTGATGGGGACAACGGTACAGATGGAAACCACAGCTCTGAGAATGGCCGCTTCTATTTCTATTGGTATCACGACCTCCTGTCATTGGAAACTCCGCTGCAGGATATGCGGCTTCCGAAACTTGAGATCCAGGATCATCTGCCCGAACAGGCCGTTGGCCCACGAGAACCTGCCACCAGTCAGTATCCGTCTCGACTCACCCCAAACCAAGGAACAGACTCACCACTGCCGCGTCCACTGGCTCGCATTGTTCGAGTTGATGCTCTCGTGCATCAGCCCCAGCCCGTCCGTCGACGCCACCAGCTCCTTGAGCACGCTTACAATCTCGCCGTCGTCCTCCGACGTCAGGATCCGCACGATGCTCGCCATGGGCCACGCCATGCCCGGCCCGACGTGCGGCCCCCCGATGGCGCTGATGACCGACCCCTTCATAAAGTACGGGTTCCCCTCTTGGCTCAGCAGTCGCGCCCGCGTGCGCCGGTACACGGCATCGGTGTCGGCCAGGAACCCAAACACGGGCGCCGCCAGCAGCGATGGCACATTCGCGTCGTCCATCAGCGCCGCCGACCCGAACCCGTCCACCTCGTACGCATACACCGTCTCAACCGCCGCTTCGCCGCTCCCATTCCCCCCTAGCACCGGCACATGCACCACCCCAAACCTCTTGACCCCCTCCACCACCCTCCCCGAAAACGCCCTCATCTCCTCCGCCAACCCGCCCACCTCCACCCCCTCCTCCCCCAGCCCATCCACAATCAGACTCGCCCCGGCCAGGTACCTCGCAAACATCATATTCGCCGGCACCACAAACCCAAACAGCCCCGCATCGTCGCTCGGCCTGAACCCGCTCCTCACCATCCCCGTCTCCCTCACAGGCGCCCCCACCCCGTCATTCGCCAACGTCTCAGTCTGCCGCGTTGTCAGCCGACTAAACCGGTACGCGCTCTCCCTGACCTCCCCTTTCGGGCCGTACGTGCCCGCCACCATGGCGCCCGCCGTGTCGAGCAGCGCGCGCACCGCCTTCAGCCAGCTGTGCCTGCCAAAAAAGGCCGCGTCGTGTGTCGCCTCGTGGTAGGACACGCTCAGCTGCAGGAAGGCGGCGAGACTGTCGAGCTCGAATTTGCACTCGAATACCTTGTCTTTGTCGTACGGGGGGAACACGGCGTCAGTGTCGGCGGCGGGGTTGGAGGCGGGGCGGATGCCTGATTCCGCCGGCGGCTGGAAGGCGTTGCAGAAGGGGGAGGTGAGGAGCTGCCGCGCCTGGAGGTTGATGGCTCCGCGGAACAGCCCCGCGATGCTATCCGTCTTGGTGTCGGGCTCGAGTAAGGAGAGGTACGACTGCAGCTGGTTGGCACTGTCGCGCAGCCACATGGCGTCGATGTCACCGGTCACGAGGAACGTGAGCTCCTCGGCCGGGTCGGAGGCAGCGGCGCCGCGCCAGCGGACGGCGGTGTCGAGCGTGTTGGGGTAGGTGTTTGTGAAGAGGCGGGCGAGGTCGGGGTCGGAGATGGAGGCGGAGACGTTGGTTAGGAGGGCTTCCAGGGCTGGGGAGGTGAAGGTCCGGCAGGAGGGAGACGGGCGCGCGGAGGAGAGGGCGTAGCGGCCGGAGGAGAATGGCTCGTGTCGGGATTGCGAGAAGGAGGAGTAGTCCGGACAGGAGGTGGACTGGGCTGTGGTGAGGGAGGGGAGGGCGGCGACTGTCGCCAGCAGGAGGGGGGATGGCTTCATCGTGGTGGGGTGGTGGTGATGGCCTGGTATGGAGTCTCTCTCCCCGCTTGTTGCGAGTCAATCACGATGCCGACAACGGACGGGCAGGACTGGGACGGAGCCTCTGCACCCTCGTGATGGACAGACCGACGTTTGGTGAAAGCAACGGACGGAGGAAGCTCACGATCCCTCCCCCACTAAGCATCCAAGCAGGCACGCAACTTTATTTATTCATCCCCTCCCCTTCCCCCACAAACCCTCAAACCCACCCGACAGGGCAAGTCGCACAGGGATCGGCAGTGACACGGGCGCATCGCCATTTTGTTTGGCCGGCGATCTCCCGGCTGCCCCTCAGGTGCAACCAAACAAATGAAATCGACATGGCCTCCCTCTCTGTCTCCCCGCGTGGTACTCGGGTTATGCCAAAAATCCAGTTGCCATTTCGGGGCGTGTCTCGTTCCGCGGGCTGTTGTTGGTTGGTCATGCGGGAACCCGCCTCGGCGGCCGGGGGAGGCTGCATCGGGCCATGCTCGTCTCTGCTGTGCCGGACCGGCTCCGATTCGGTGGCGAAACGTTGTACAAACGCGTGGTGGACGGGTGGTGGTTGTGGTTCTTGCAGATTCCCGGGTGCATTGGAGCTGAACTCGAGCAGTCAGTTGGTGGACGGCGGATTGGCTCCGCTGCAGTGTGTCTGGTTCAGCTTGTTTCTGGTTCTGCCGCGCTGGCAGGGGAATTTCCATGTTATTAATTAATGGCATGCGATATAGCTGTCCGTCGGCGGTACCACGCTCGGGTTGGAGTTGTGGTGCATTGAGCCCGTGAACGAGCACTCTATCTACCCCTGGCGTTGTCATGCTCGGCCTCGGCGTGTCCAACAACGAGAATAAGGAGAGAGGCAACAGCGCAGACAACCATTACCAAATTACACGCTTCAATTGAGATGCATCTACGTCAGACGCTGAATTGCCGGGCTCAATGCCAAAGAACCGTAATCTCTCCAACTCTTCGAGTTTCGATCCATTGGTCTGGCAGACTCAGACTCGTCCTGGAGGCAGGATGTCAGGGCGTGTAAGTGGAATGCATGTGTCCTGCTTGGACTTCAACCCAACACCATGGGCATCTAGCTCCCCAAACTCCTCGGGGTATCATATCCCATGTATCACATCCCACCTCAATCTCCACAATCCACTCCATACCCAGCCTCTCAACCTCTCAACCACTCACCCTCCCCTCCTCAACCCACTTCCCCCGAATGACCACCCCCCAGGATGACTCCTGCCGCAGGCCCCAGGCACGAAACACCACCCACAGCATGCCAACCCCCATCCACCGCCTGATTAGCACAGTGGTAATGCGTTGCACTCGTACTCTCATTCCAAGAATATGCAAAGATCACTGGTTCGATTCCAGTATTAGGCAAACCAAACCTGATATAACGGAGGCTTCAATTTTTCGTTCCTTTTTTTTCTGTCCTGTTCCCCAGTTTGTTGGCTTGCTTGTGCTCCGCAATGGTTGTTTGTTGAGTGTGTGGTGAGCAGGTGAGGAAGGTGGCCGGTCTGTCGTGGTGGATGACTCCACTGGAGGCGGTTGCTGGCAGGTTCGGGGTTTGGACTCGGAGAGGACGAGGCCATTAGCAGCTGCTCATCGTTGCGGGACCTCATATGTGGTGGAGGATTTGTTGGCTTGCTTGTTATTGCGGTTGTTGAGTGTGGTGAGCAGGTGAGGAAGGTGGTCAGTGAGTTGGACGACTCAACTGGAGGGAGTGGGTGGTTGCCGGCAGGTTGGAGTTTGGAGAGGACGAGGTCGCCGGCGGGTGTTCGTCGCTGCAGAACCCCCGCATGGTGGGATTGACGATGTGTGGATAGGCTGAAGCACTCTCTGTTAGCCTGAGTTGGAACATGCTCGACGGGCAACTCCCATATCCCATCAAGACCAGATCACCTCCAACACCACAGCACCACTACACGATCCTCGGGCACCACACACTCCTCACAAAACCCTTTCACTAAACCAACACATCACACACACACACACACACACAGCATCGAATCAACACAACCAAGTCAGACGAGTCATGCATATATTCCGTTTCCATTCCCTCCCAGGCTTCCCATCCCCAACCACCGCCGGCACACCAACCCACCACACCCACAACCCCATCGTCCACAGCCCGACCAATCTTTTTTTTTTCTTTTTGCTACCCAACAAGGCCACGCGCACCCTTCCTCCTTCTCCTCCAACAACAACAAAGCCAACACCAAAAAAACACCCCATCCACGTCTCTTCTTGTCTTCTCTCTGCGTACGTGTGTCGTGTGTTTTTCCGACGACGGCAATGCTGATGCTGAAAACCCCTTCCGATCGATCTGGCCTGCCTTTCGCCCGCCCCACGCCCCAACCGAACCCCGACGAACAACCTCGCCAAAGGTCCCCGGTGACGTTGCTGCTTGTTGCTGCTGAAAAAGTACCCCACAGCGTTTTCTGCTCTCGACATAGTCCATCTCCGAAATTCGTTTTGTGTGTCCGTACCAAAGGGGGGTATCTCTGAAAGGAAGAAAAAAAAAGAGTCGCTTTGTTTCCCAATAGCGTTTCTAGGCAGGGGAGGCAATGATGATGATGATGATGATGATGACGACGAGATGAGAAGAAGAAAAGGAGAGAAAGGAGAAAAAAACAACCGAGCATAAAATGGGGGAAAAAACCAGAGAGAAAAACAAAGAGTGGAGGGGACACCGGCCAACTTGTGTATGCGTGTATGTACTGGACTTGTTGCGCCTGACCAGGAACCACCACCACCCGCCCCGAGTCGAATAGAAAAATGCAAAGCTTGTCATGGAGAACATGGTTGTTTTCTTTTCTTTTTTGTGTTTCCATTTCATCGTGCTGTCCAAGACAAGAGTAAACGTGAGCCCCAACCGTGATAACGAGCCAGAACCGAGAACGCCGTTGGAAAAAACCCGATATCGTTGCCGCGTCTTGCTTGAGCCCCTCTCACCTCACCTCCCCGAGCTGGAGAGAGCCCACAGAGAGGGAGACAGAGAGAGGTTCAAGGAGGGATGGATGATGTGTGGACCGGAAGCCATGCATTGGCGAACAGAGGGGAACTCGAGATGAGGTCGAAGCCCGCCTCGGCCGTGACCGCGTCGGGTGGCGCCTAGGCGACCGGCGCGACGGGGGGGACGGGCTGCGAGGGCAGGCCCTGGCCGCTCAGGTCCATGTCCGAGGGGAGCTCGCCGTTGGCGCCGGGGCGCTTGGTGCAGTCGCGCGAGATGTGGCCGGCCTCGCCGCACTGGTAGCACGTCTTGCCGGCCGTGTTGAGGGGCCCGCCGTTGGGGGCGGTGCAGTCGCGCGAGATGTGGCCGAGCTTTCCGCAGGCGTAGCACTTCATGGCCTGGGCCTGGCAGTCGCGGGCGAAGTGGTTGGGGCCGCCGCACTTGTAGCAGGTGGCCGGGCGGGCGCCGGCGGGGCCGCCGACGAAGCCGGGGCGGGGGTAGCCGAAGCCGCCGCGGCCCATGGGTCCGGCCTTACCGAGACCGGGAGGGTGGGGGCAGTTGCGCTAGATATCACAGTCAGTATCGTAGGAAAAAGTGCGGGAAGACACCAGGAAGACGCACAGCCATGTGGCCAATCGAGTCGCAGTTGTAGCAGCGGTTGGAGGCACCAGGGCCGCCGCCGCTCAGGCGGAGGGTAGGGCACTCAGCCTGCACGTGGCCCAGGCCCTGGCAGTGGTAGCACTGCTTCGACTTGGTGGTGCGGGGCATGGGGCACTCGTTCGACTCGTGGTTGGGCTGCTTGCCTGTTGGGAGGGTCAGCGACGGCGCACAGCAATGGACGGGAGGGGGGGTAGTTGGTCGTACAGTTGTAGCAGAGGCGCTGAGGAGAGGCGCAGGCTTCGGCGTGGTGACCGAGCTCACCGCACTTGTAGCACGCCCGACGCGAGACGGAAGACATGATGTCGGATCTGCAGGCTAGTGAGTTAGCATGGCGTTGTGACGCCGCGGCGGCCCAGTCTCCCTCAGCAGTTTGCTTGCTGCCACGTTTGCAGGCGGCTCGATGTGTTCGTCGGACAGGCATCATGGCGGGGCACACAGGCGGGCCAGCGGGGCGGCGATGCAGGCTGGGGTCGCGCGCAGGGCGAGGGCGAGGGGCCTGATCAGGCTCATGGCTGCAGCTGGCAAGACGTTGGCGAGCCTTTGTTTGCCTTTGTCCTTGTCGTTTGGGAGGCAGAGTTGATCATTATTTTCTGGGGGGTGGGTCGTGAGTGAGGGCGGGTGGTCGTTCGGCAGCCGGGGATCGATGCTGTGCGACCCGAACGAGCTTCGGACGTTGGGGTAACCTGCACCCGCCCTCGCTCCCACACCCACACACCCGTGTCTCTAGCCGTGCCTGTGCCTGTGCCTGTGCCTGTGCCTGTGCCTGTGCCCGTGCCTGTTGTGCCTGGACGGCGTCGACTCCAGCTCGCGGAGCCGGTAGACGACGGGGATGAGAGCCAGTAGCCTGCCGCCGGGCCCGAGGTCGAAGTCGAGGGTTGGCGGGCATGTGCTGCTTGTCGCCGGGCGAGGACCCCCGCCGTCCAATAATGCGCGCACTCGGCCCTGGCCGACGTCGCCGGCAGCTCTGAGATCCCGGCCGGCAGCCGCAGCGTCTTTGATGCCGGCCCTGTGCTCGCAAGCCCATGATGCCAGGCCCATGCCGGTGTGCGCGCGCATGCAAACGTGTCTTCGCAACAACTGCGGGGGAGTCTTGGTGCTGGCGGCGGGTGAAACGAGGCTGGGGCGCCGCACTCACCTTGGGCAAAAAAAGAAGCAAAAATGGTGTCGACGGTTGATATTTGGACCGGTATCCGCTGCAGCGTTTGCCGATGTGCTTTTCGAGTTCGAGTTCGATTCCAACTTCCTTCGCCAACAACACCCGGAGGATCAGACAGCCGACGAGCTTTGGAGAAGACTAGGTGGTTTTCGTGAAGTAGTGGGAAGAGGGAGGGAGAGCGAGAGGCGGGACCGGCGGAACAATGAGGGAGGATGGGATGGGGAAGGGAGGGATAGCGCGGGTTGGCCTGGTGCTTGGTGCTTGGTAGGTGCTTGCTTTGGTGCATTCGCACGGGCTGCGGGCAGCGGACGACAGGCGACAGCGACAGACCAGGCCACAAAACGGAAACAAGTGACATGCCCGTGACCTTGCCGCTGCGCTTGCCTCCCCCGCGGCTCGCCACACGGGACCCCCCAGCCATGCGAGGAGCACCCGAGGGAGCCTGATCAGGGCCTGCAGCGCGTGGCTTGGCGCCCAGTTGAGTTTGTCGCGAGGTACCACGGTAGTACCTGGCCCGAGTGCCCTGGCAGCTGGGCAGCTTCCGCAACTCGGCTGGGCGGGCTGCGGAGCGCTGACGTTCCCTCCTGGCAGGTTTAGCGCTGATGAGGGGGAGGGCACAGTGGACGGCGCCAGGGCATGGGAGGGATGGACAGGGCAGGCAAGGCACCAGGGCATCAGGGCAGCGGGCAAGCACCGAGCAGCTGCTGCGTGGTGGAGCGTCTGGTCTGGTCTGGTGCTGGCATCTGCAGTTTCAGCTGCCGGCCTGAGGGGCACGCTAAGGGCAAAAATCTTGGGCCTTGGCGGGCTGCGGGCTCCACTTGCCCACTGGCCCGTCTGCCCACCTGCCCACACCTGCACCACGCCCGCCGCCACCCCACATCCCAGCGACTTCTCAGTCAGGCTCATGCTCACGCATCGACTCGACTCGCACACTCCAGCTTCAGTGGAGAAGGGGAGAAAGAGGCAGAGCAGGCGTGGCTCGTGACTCGCGCCACCTTGACTCGTGGCAAGTGTGTCTGACCAAGCCTCAGCTTCCACCAGTTTCTTTCCGATTTGCCATCCTCAGCCGCTTCTGTTCTTGCTCTCGACTCGGCGCTCCGCTGTTTGTGTGGCGATGTCTCGGCTTGTGGCTGACCGTTTTCTCTCCATCCGCAGTTCTGAGCCGCACAACCCAACCCTCCATCGAATTTAATTTTGGGGGGAGGGCAGACGGAGGGACAGAGACCAACAGAGGGGGGTCGTGTCGGGTGCCGACAGACACACCCGATCGAACCGACAGAATCCAGAAAACCAAGAAAACCAAACAGATCTCGCCATATCATATCTCTCATTGCGGTGGAGTAACTATCAAACGGAGCGACCCAGTCAATTGATCGCCGATTCCTGCCGACCCGTCTCACAAGCTCCAGCCTCTAACCCCCCCCCCCGCCGGTCCATCCCCGGTCCATCCCCAGCCCGCGCTCAGTCAATGGCCAATCGCCCGAAACGACGGGCTGCCAGCGCCGGTGACGCGCAGAGAGCCACCAGCAACTTCGCGCGCGGGGAAACGCAGTGACGTCGCAAACAGGCCGAGGCAAGCCAAGCTGTTCTCCAGCGTGTCTCAAACCGCCC